CTGCAGCAACCATTCAATATTAAAAAAGATGAGTGGGGGGAAAAAATGAAGATGGACAAAAAAGATGGACTGTTCCCCTGGAAACAAAATGATCAGAAAGGTTACTAGGTTTGCATTATCTGCCATTCCTTCCTTCCATCCATCCCACACCCTCTACCCAGAAAGGAAAACAAACAAACAAAAAAAGGAAAGAAAATGGCAAGACGGAATGAGCGTGGCAGTTTAAGAAAAAGAACTGAATTTAACTGGCACATGCGCTAATCTTGAGTTTATTTCTGGTTAAAAATATAGCAATCCAGTGCAGTGTAATAAAGAAATCTGCTGAAAAGGTAGCAGAGAAACAGCTAAAATGTAAGCAAAGCAAAGCCAAGTCCACAAGTCAGGTTGTGTCCAACACTCTGTATGGAAAACGATGAGACGGATTTGGTCACAGATAAAATCTAGGATTGTATTTGGGCCATATCTGACCCTCATGACTCCCCCACCCGCTTTATCCAATGGCCTTGCAGTAGGTATAATTGTGGGTCAGAGAGGGTTCCGATATATACTGTATCAAAGAGAGGCAGTTAACCCTTTGAAGTGCACAGCTGACGTAGCAGGCAAGGACAGACTGCATGTGGTTTTGGGGATGGAGGTAGGCAGGGAAAACAGTTGCATTGTTTTTGGAATGCAACAGGACGTCAGGAATTTCCAAGCAACTGAGCTAAAACCATGCTTTTGTCATTGCGACCATAAAAGATCAGGACTGGGGTACTGCATCTTTAATGAAGGTGTATTATCGGGGCGGGGGAGGGAGGAATGGGGAAAAAAATCAAGGCAGGCATAGAATCATAGAAGGGTAGGACTGGAAGGCACCTCAGTAGGCCACTTCCATTACAAAGATGTTAAAATGAACAAAATTAAGTGACGTATAGAAAAGAATACATCCTTAAAGGCTGCTGTTGCCAATGACGTTTTTTTACAGGGACATGTCGGAAGCTGGAATATACATCCTGCATACAAAGTGCAAAAATACTACATGCTCAGAGCCCAAGCATGATGTCTGAAGCGGTCCATGGCAAGATGTAACAGGCATACCCAGCCGCGTTCCTCCGCTCCTGCAGCTGTTGCAATGCGCCTCCCCAGATGTCCTTTGCTGGATCAGAATTGAATCTCCCACCAGACAGCTTCCTTGCATTCTCTGTAAGCGCTGGTGTGATTGTGTAGGTGTGGTTACAGTTCAGGATGGGATAGCTGGTGATTGTGTTAGTATCACCGCTCCTGATGTGTGTGTATGGGGGAGTTGGGCCGTAATAAACCACCAGGCAATATATGGGGTGAGGGCAGGGCAGATTTGTAGCTAGGAGAAATCAGCTTTGAACGGAAAGAGGGTGGCTTTGGGTGGTTTTGCTCTGGCTGAGTGAGGACGGGAGGGTGGCAGCAGGTATGATATTTACACCTTGTAATCCCCCCACCACCATATCAGAACTGAGCAAAATGCTGATTGTTACAGTTTTAAAAAATTCTGAAGCAAAAATAGGCCACTTTCCCTTCATCCTCTATCCTCTGTACTCAGGGGGGGTCTCTTCCCCTCCCCGAGCACCTCCTTTTCTCCTCCTCATTCCTGCTTTTTTTTTCTGGTAGCAGAGAGGGGAAGAAAAATATGTAGGGTTTTTTTTTGTGGTCGGGGGGGGTGTTAGGGGGGGATGGGT